GTTTGAGTCCCTCCCGCGAGAGCACCGTCTCGGTGGGTTGTTGAGAAGTTGTCCTCCTCCCTGAGAACAGCTTCTCTTGCACTTGACTCAAAGAGGTCAGAAGTGGGATTCATCTTTCCTTAAAAATACTGTGCGCGTGTTTGTGCACACACTTTTTTGTGCGCAGCGTAAGTCACCCAAATCGCCTCTCGGCTCCCGGCCTCAGAAATCACCGATCAAGCATTACGTGACTCGGGGACACTTCTTATTTAATACCTCACCATCACCCCCTTGTCCACGAGTCAATGAACGGGTCCTGCGCTTACGGTACGTAGCTGTAGAGCAATTCCCAAGTCGCTCGATGCTCTTCCGGAATGGAAGAGCCCAAAGATCGCAAAGTGGATATTGGTCGGGAGATTGGTTTCCCATCGTACCACACCGGACTAAGCGTAGCCATTTTAATTATTTGTGTTATGCGTCGCATTAACGCGCTTTTGTCTTCAATTTGTGGGTACCATCGCGTTGGTTCGACGTTGCTTGTAATTATGAACTTGGTTGCTAGTAAGTCCGTCATTGAGTTTTTGATGGGCACCTTAATTGGATTTTCTGAAAGCCATCTGAGCATGTCGCTGTATTTTTCGGAGCCGTAGAAGTCATCAAATATCACCAGGTCTTGACCGCAGTAACCGTCCCACCATTGTCCGTCGGGTTTGACGTAGTATTCGGGGCAGACGGAGCGGGCTGTGTCGGGTTTGACGTAGTATTCGGGGCAGACGGAGCGGGCTGTGTGGGATTTCGCTGTTCCGGGCGGGCCCCAAAGTACAGTTACTTCCGGTTTGGGTCTGGCGAAGGTGACTTTTTTTAGTTGTCGGTGGTACGCGGTCACGGCTGAATGATGACGAAGCATCCAATCTGGCCCTTCTTCTCAAAGTGTTGCAATTGAGAGGTGTTGCCACCTCTTTTGTTATGCCTACACGCGTTTCTTCTTTAGAGCAATACTTAATTGCCGCCTGTATATCTTTGCAAATTTCGACGTGGGTTAGGCCGCCGAATTGTCTTCGTACTTCGTCAAAACTTCGGGCATGTTGGAAATAAATGAATCCCTGATAATGCAGTCTTCCTGTTGTGGGGCATAATTCCTGTTGGTATATGTAGTATTTATACTGCATGGGTATAGGACATTCATCGGCGAACGATGTGAATACGAAAGCGCGGGCGCGGAGGTTGTGTCCTGTCATGGTGCAGTGTTTCCGAATATTAATTTCAAAATTTCAAAACTGTAAGATTAAATGCGCGTGTTTGTATACACACACTTTTTATTTATTTGTTAAATAGCCTCGGTGCTGTTCAACATCTCGGTGGTGTTCAACACCTCGGTGGTGTTCAACACCTCGG